GTCATCCTATTTTTCTCCATCCTCTCTAAATGTCCAAACCACCTCAACAACCACTCCTCAGCCCTGCACCATCTAGTCTTCAAACTATTAATTCTCTGCATAATATTTACACCACAGATTACCTGCAGACATGACATTTTCACTGCTTAAAGCCTTCTCCTCACTGTAACATTTAAAACCAATGCTTCACACTTATATAAGAATGCTGGAACCACTATGATACATTCCCTTTTTTGCCTCCATGGATAACATTTTTTGTCTTCTCAGATGCCTCAGTGCATCACCCACCTTTTTTTCCTCATCAATTCTATGGTTCACCTCATCTTTTATAGACCCATTTGCTAATAGGCCCACTCCCTAATATCTGAATACATTCACTTCCTCCATACTCCCTCCTTCCAATCTGAAATCCAGTCTTTCATTACCTAAAATTTTATTACCTTTATCACCTTGCTCTCTCTTATGTTGACTTTCAATTTCCTTCTTTTACATACCCTTCCAAACTTGGTCACCAACCTCTGCAACTTCTCTTCAGAATCTCCCGAAAGCACAGTGTCATCAGTAAACAGCAATTGTGAAAACTCTCACTTTGTAATATATTCTCTATCTTTTAATCCCACACTTCTTCCCAACACCCTAACATTCACTTCTTTTGCAACCCCATATATAAATATGTTGAACAACCATGGTGACATCATGCATCTCTGTCTAAGGCCTACTTTTACTAAAAAATAGTCTCCCTCTCTCCTACAAACTCCCTCACTATCCTCATAAAACCTCTCTAACTGCTTTAACCCTTAAACTGTCCAAATGTAGATCTACGTTTGCTCACGTAGTGCTCCAAATGTAGATCTACTTTTTTTTACACTGTTTCTTATGGAGAAAATTAAGGTCGGACCGCTATGCGCTCAAGCGTAGATCTATGTTTGGACAGTTTAAGGGTTAAGTAACCTACCACCTATTCTATTCACTACCTAGGATCTACCTGGAGGTTGCTCTGTGGGTTAATGCCCCCACATTGGGGGTACGTTGTACAGTTTGCCTAGTCTTTTGCTATCGTAAGGAGTGATTAATGAGCAGATTTGGAATCAGTCCCACTAGGATTTTCCAGGTGTAGATTGTGTAATGTAGATTGTGGAACATTTGCCACACTGCTAGGCTAGGTTAGGTAAGATTTGTCCGGAAACAAGACAATTGCTTCCTAACACAGGCCTTAGTCACATACTGGAGATTTTGGTCATTTAACCGAGGGCTTCTGCAAACTTACCAGACTACCCTTTTAAAAATTAATATTAGTGCCACATTTCATCCCTATCCACCCTATTACATGCCTTTTCTAAGTGCAATGATGCAATGAAAACTTCCTTATCTCTATCTAAATATAATCTGATTTTATTTCTGATTAAAACACTTGGTTTACACATTCCCTACCCTTCCTAAAACCTCCTTGTTCATCTTCAATCATGCTTTCCACCTTACTTTTAATTCTTTAAATAATAACTGCCATACTCTTTACCTGGTATAGTCATCCCTTGGTATCCACGGGGAGATTGGTTCCAGGAACCCCTGAGGATACCAAAATCTGTGGATGCTTAAGTCCCGCATTCCCTTCATCCACTATACATCCCATGGTGAGTGTAGTGGGAGAAGGTTATAGAGCTTGGTTCTTCATCCTCCATCTGGCAGTGAGGCTCAGGGCTCCGTTCATAAGTGTTTAACACCATACCTTCTCCTCCGTTCATATGCATCTACCATACATTGGCCACACACCTCTACCCACTCCAACTGCTCAATCAACTCTTCCCTTCTCTGTGGTCATGTGCCCTCGCTACACACTCATACCACCCACCCCTATAATTCCCCTACAGCCACATGCCTTCAACCATATATCCATCCCATGCCTGCCTCCTCCCACCCACCCCTATAATTCCCCCATGGCTACACACCTTCACCCACACCATTCCAACCAACAACCTCCACCTACACAACTCCCCATGGCCACACCATCCAACCAACAACCCCATCTCTATACACAACCCACTCATATAATTCCTCCCACAGCTACATGCCTGCACTTACACCATTCCCCCACTATCTCACACCAACAACTTACTCAATCTTTCACCCTAACAAGCAGTCCACATACCTAATCACTTAATCATGCTGTCCCCCTCATTACTGCCTACACCAACTGTATACTCACCCACCCAGTCATTCATCAATCACCACCCACACTGTCACCAACAACCACACCTATTAAGAACTATCACAAAAAAAGAAGAAATGTCAGATGGCTGTTTATGCATATATAGTCTTCCCTCAGTATTGCCTACGCATCACTTCATTCGCACGGATTCAGAGTAGTACTGGGCACACGGCAAATTCAATTTTTGCTTTTTGGAACTTTTTGGAATTTTTTTAAGATATTTTTGATCTACAGTTGGTTGAATCCATGGATGCAGAAACAGTGGATATGGATGTCCAACTGTATACTCAAAAGACTTTTTTTTTTTTTCAACAAGTCGGCTGTCTCCCACCGAGGCAGGGTGACCCAAAAAAAGAAAGAAAATCCCCAAAAAGAAAATACTTTCATCATCATCATCAAAAGACTTATTCCTCTATAATTCTTATGATTTCTTTTATCCCCTTTTCCTTTATACAAAGGAACTATGCATACACACTACCAATCCATAGGTACCTTCCCTCCTTTCTAACATTAATTTGACAAATACTTCAACCACTCCAAAACTATGCCCCAACCTGCTTTTAATATTTGTGTCTTGATCCCATCAATCTCAGCTGCTTTACTCCCTTTCATTTTACCCAATGACTCAAGAACCTTCCCCACACTCTCATTTGGCTCTTCTTCACTCCTAAAAGATGTTATACCTCTCTGGCTAGTACATGAAACCACTACCTCTCTCTTTTCATCAACATTTAACAACAGCTCAAAATATTCCCTCCATCTTCACAATCCCTCCAACTCCCCATCTAATAGCACTCCTTTTCTGTTTTTAACTGCTAAATCCATTTGTTCCCTAGGCTTTCTCAACTGATTAATCTCACTCCAAAACTTTTTCTTATTCTCAGCAAATTTTTGTTAACAAAATTTCACTCACTCTCTCATTTGCTCTCCTTTTACACTCCTCCATCACTCTCTGAATTTCTTTTTTATTCTCTCTATATATCACACCATTCTTGTATCACTTCTGCTTTGTAAAAAACCTTCACATGCTAACTTTTCTCTCTTACCTCATCATTCCACCAACTGCTTCTCTTCCATCCCACACCCACCCTCCTATATCCACAAGCTTCTGCTGCACATTCTAAAACTGTTCTTAAATATACCCCATACCTCTTTGACCTCCTACTTGTTACCTATGCACTGGTCCCTTGAGTTATATTAGTCCATTCAAAATTTTTTTTTTTTTATTAACACTCTGGTTGTTTCCCACCAAGGTAGGGTGATCCAAAAAAAAAAAAAAAGAAACTTTCATCATCATTCATTCCATCACTGTCTTGCCAGAGGCACACTTATACTACACTTATACTGCAACATCAACACCCCTCCCTCAGAGAGCAAATATTATACTTCCACCTCCAGGCTTAAAGTCCAGCTAACCAATTCCCCTGAATCCCTTCATATATGTTACATTGCTCACACTCCAACAGCATGTCAAGTCATAAACGCCATTTGTAACTCAAACCCCAAAATACAGGAGGGCTCCGTTTGTACGGCACTTAGGCTCCTGACTCAGGCCGATAAGCAAAAATTGCTGATGAGTGGAAAAGTGCAGTTTTGTCAATATTGAATGCATCTAAAGTGCCTGAAAACATGTTTACATTATATTAAGTGCTCAACACAGCTAGGTCAAAAAAAAAAAAAAGATATAAAAGTAAAATAAATACTATACAGTACATACAATACTTACCATAAAATATGGGGCTGAATGCCTATCCTTAACACAACTGTCATGCAAAAATGGCAGAAAAAATATAAAGAGTACCGAACATAATGATCAATGGCTCAAATGGAAACGGGTGAAATCGTGGTACACTGAAAAGAGGGTGCTGAAAAAACGGAACCCTCCTGTACATGGCTTTAAAGTAATTAAATCCAAGCCCAAATAGTGCAACTTTTATAGTACAGTGGACCCTCAACCAACGATTTTAATCCGTTCCAGAGAGCTTGTCCTTAGCTGAATTTATCGTTAGCCGAATTAATTTTCCCCATAAGAAATAATGGAAATCCAATTAATCCGTTCCAGACACCCAAAAGTATGAAAAAAAAAAATTCACATGAAATATACATTTTCCTACACAGAAAACAATGATACATGCACAATAAATACTACATGAAGAATAAATGACACTTACCTTTATTGAAGATGTAGTGATGAGATAGGAGGGGAGATGATGGTGGTGTATTATTGTTTGGAAGGGGAATCCCATTCCATAAGGACTTTAGGTACCAAGTCCTTTTCTGGGGTTACTTCCCTTCTTTTTTAATGCCACTGGGAACAACTTGACAGTCACTGGACCCCTGTAGCACCAAAAATCTGTCCACAGAGCTCTGTACCTGGCATTTCTTTAAGATTTTCCTAAAATGGGCTACAACATTGTCATTGTAAAAGTCACCAGCACGGCTTGCAATAGCTGTGTCAAGGTGATGTTCTTCCATAAAGGCTTGCACCTTTGTCCACACTGTACAAATGTCCTTAATCATTGAAGAAGGCAACTTCCTCCATCTCTTTCTTCCCTCCTCTGAAGCAATTTCCTTAGTTGTGGCCTCTTGCTGTTGCAGATGCTCTTGCAGCTCATCAGTGGTTAGTTCATTGTCGTCCTCCACCAACTCTTCCACATCCTCCCCACTAACCTCCAACCCCATGGACTTCCCCAATGACACAATAGATTCCACAACTGGTATAGGCTCCTCAGGGTTAGCCCCAAACCCTTCAAAATCCCTCTCTTGTACACACTGTGGCCACAATTTCCTCCAAGCAGAGTTCAAAGTCCTGCAATTCACTCCCTCCCAAGCCTTACCTACAAGGTTTATGCAACTGAGGATACTAAAGTGATCTTTCCAAAACTCTCTTATGGTCAATTCAGTGTCTGAGGTCACTTCAAAGCACTTTTGAAACACTGCTTTGGTGTACAGTTTTTTTTTAAATTTGAAAGGACTTGCTGGTCCATGGGCTGGAGGAGAGGAGTGGTATTAGGAGGCAAAAACTTCACTTTAATGAAGCTTAACTCCCCCACAATTTGCTCTGGCAAGTCTGGAGGATGAGCAGGAGCATTATCTAATACCAGGGGGCACTTGAGGTCCAATTTATTTTCCAGGAGGTAATTTTTCACAGTGGGGCCAAACACATGATAGAACCAATCATAGAAAATGTCCCTAGTGACCCATTCCTTACTGTTTGCCCTCCACATCACACACAAATAAGCCTTGACGACACTGTTTTTCTTGAACACTCTGGGAGTTTCAGAGTGATACACGAGTAGAGGCTTCACTTTGCAATCCCCACTAGCATTACTACAAAACATTAGAATTAGCCTTTCATAGGCTTGTGTCCTGGCAGTGCTTTTTCCTCCTGTGTAATGTAGGTCCTGTTTGGCATTTTTTTCCAAAACAAGCCTGTTTCGTCAAAATTAACCCTTTCAGGGTTTCGGCCATACTAGTATGGCTTACGCGCCAGGGTCCTTGACGTACTAGTACGCATAAATTCTAGCGCCCTCAAATCTAGTGAGAGAAAGCTGGTAGGCCTACATTTGAAAGAATGGGTCTATGTGGTCAGTGTGCGCAGTATAAAAAAAATCCTGCAGCACAAAGTGTGTAATGAGAAAAAAAAAACTTTGACCGTGTTTTTGGATGAAAACAGCGACTTTGCACTGTATTTTCATATGGTATTTATTGTTGTATTCTAGTTTTCCTGGTCTCATTTTATAGAATGAAAGACATATTACAGAAATTGAGATGATTTTGACTGGTTTTACAATAAAAAGTACCTTGAAATTGAGCTCAAAGTAGCAGAAATGCTCGATTTTTACCAAAGTTCAAAAGTAAACAAATCATGCCAAGTGTCCAATACATGTCAACTGGCAAGTCTAATATTCTTTCACAAGTGCTCTGATATTATTTATACCATTTCTACACTAATGCAGTAGTCTGCATAACAGTAAATCTCCTATTATTTTTGTGAGAATAAAAATTCAAAGTGGAAAGCAAAAGAATGTAAGAGAGGTGTTGGGACGTGACTAATGAACAGAGGAAATGTTATTTTAGTGACAGGAATGTCTTTCTTGTTTATTCTGGACCCTATTTGGAAATTGGCATCTTTTGAAATTTGTGTGAAATTGGCAAAATTGCTAAATTCTGACCATTGTATTGGATAGTTGAAATCAGTAAATGGGTGGTTTCTTGTACTCATTCGATAGTAAAAATGGAGTTCTAGTGAAATAGTTATGATTTTTGTCAACTAGTATACTGAAATTGGCCAAAAATAGGGCTCAAAGTGGGCAAAATCGCCGATGCGTAAACATCGTCGAGACCGCTAACTTCGCGAGAGAATAATTCCGTAAGTTTTCCATCAAATTTCATACTTTTGGTGTCATTATGATCGGGGAAAAAGTTCTCTATCTTTTCATAAGAATTTTTTTTTTTTTTTTTTTTGAAATTTGGAGGACCCTGAGAACAAGACTGGGAGAGGGCCAGTGGACCCTGAAAGGGTTAAACACTTGTTCGGGTTTTAATTTTTCAGTGTCTATGTACTCCTTGAATTCCTCCACATATTTTTCAGCTGCTTTTTGGTCACAACTGGCAGCCTCGCCATGCCTTATCACACTGTGTATGCCACCATGATTCTTAAATCTCTCAAACCTACCTTTGCTGGCCTTAAATTCACTAACATCACCACTAGTTCCAGGCATTTTCTTAATGAGATCTGCATGCAATTGCCTTGCCTTTTCACATATTATTGACTGAAAAACACTATCTCCTGATAATTGTTTTTTGTTTATCCACACCAACAACAGTCTCTCTACATCTTCGAGTATTTGCAATCTCTGTTTTGAAAACATACTTGCACCTTTCGCAACAACAGCTTCCTTGACTGCCTTTCTGTTGGCCAAGATAGTAGCAAAGGTTGATTGGGGTTTGTTATACAACCTGGCCAGCTCGGAGGCATGCACTCCACTTTCATGCTTTGTGATTATCTCTTTCTTCAATTCCATAGTAATTCTCACCCTTTTTACCACAGGATTGGCACTAGAAGCTTTCTTGGGGCCCATGGTGGCTTATTTAGCAATTTTTTTTTTCTCAACAAGTCGGCCGTCTCCCACCGAGGCAGGGTGACCCAAAAAAGAAAGAAAATCCCCAAAAAGAAAATACTTTCATCATCATTCAACACTTTCACCACACTCACACATTATCACTGTTTTTGCAGAGGTGCTCAGACTACAACAGTTTAGAAGCATACACATATAAAGATACACAACATATCCCTCCAAACTGCAATGACAAGTAGTACTAAAAACAATGGAATAATACAAAATGTATCGCAGGTGCACGTGGAAGCGTCCAGACTGGCTTGTAAACAATGGCACACTAGCTGAAGGCAGGGCAGCTGAGGCGCGCTTAGGCTGGATGGACAGGCGGACGCATTCAGGATGAATGTCCTTACCCGAGTTTTTCATCGTTGGTCGAGCCAATATTTTTACGCAAAAACGCATCATTAACCAATTTTATCGTTAGTCAATGCCATCGTTGGTCGAGGGTCCACTGTGCCTTACTGTACCATCTCATGCACTGGTGCACTAATTCTAACTCCTTCATCGTGTATTTGAACAATTTCTTGTTTAACTTTCAGAGAAATTGACTATTTTCTGCACACTTTAGAGACTGCAGTGACTTGGTAATACAAAAGATGGTGTAATTAAATCATAAATACAGTTATGAAGATTAAATAATCCAGAGCTGGTGCAGGGGCCACACACGTGGTAGCTTGAAACTGAAGTGGAAACAATTAACTGTAGTACAAATGCTGTTATTAGCTGAGATACTACCCTAGAAACATTCATTCCCATCACTGACCAGCTGCTGAACCACCCCCACACACTCCTATTGGCTCAGATGCTTCTCAAGAGGCAAGCTAAGTACTGCATAGTTGGTTGGTTGAGGCCCACCCACCCATGCGTGCCGACCATCATACACATATTTTATCTCAAAATTTTCATAATTCAAAACAAAATTTCTTGACGAGGGTAAAGTGTACCTGAAAATTATTGTAGCTCAACCCCATCATAAATCAAGGACCACCGTACAGTTGTTTTTATCTTACCCTATATAACAATATCTTACTATTATATAATTACAATTATTATATAATAGTACATGTATATAATCACTTTTCATTCAGATAAGGAATAATACATACAGAAGACATAGTTACAGAACACTGTGTTAACATTCATGGTTCATAACACTTCAACCTAAAACCAACAGGTATCATAAATATTATCAGAACAAAAGTAGAAGGTTGTAAGAGGAAACCGAACAACTACCTTGTCAGCATGACAAGATTAGTCAAGTTACGAAGCCTATATACACCTGTACGTAGACTTATATAGGTTAATAGTAACAACAGCTCGCTCAATAAAACAATCACAAAGAAGCTTGGCTCAGGCTGGGCTGTGATGGTAATAGTACCTTCAAAATCACTTGCAGGTGAAACATAAGTCTTTATATTCACAATCTTAAAAAACTTGTAGAACATGAAGAGAATACTAAGCAAAAAATCTATTTAATATCCATTTACATAAACAGTGTGGTAAAAATAATGATTTATTTCAAGCTTCAGCTGAGCAGTTCATTGATATCTGAAGAACTTAAAGGTTTAACCCCAGTAGGTAAAACTGATGAGAAAGATGAAGTATTCATGGGCTGCATGGGAGATATCATGGAACTAAAGGTACTCACAGATGATGCAACATTTGTGTTACCTATTGGATTCATTATCTGGTTCATGCTAACTGGTTTTGACTGTGAGGAAAGCAAATTATCAAATGTAGATAAATTAGGCATTTGCATTCTTACACTCTGAGATGTAGCCTGACTTGCCCAAGAACTCACTCCACTTTCAGGCAATGTCGTAACACCCCCTAATCTTCCCCCATAGTTCATGCTGCAGTTATTTATGCTGTTCATAATACCTGAAGAGGAGGGCATTCTTTGTGGAAAAGTTTTTGAAGCTAGTGATGGTTGAGAGGACTGATTAATCATCATACTCAAACTGGAATCAATTAATGATGATGTGAAGCTGTCAGCTACTTGTGATGAGGGAGTTGAGATCTGACATCGAGGCACTTGATTTTCATTTAATTTCTTAATACTACTGTAAGGAGCTGGAGGCGATGGAAAAGAGATAGGCTGCTGTTGATCTCTATCATATATTCCTTGCTCCTTAACCATCCTGATAAATAAATGCTCTTAAGTAAAATTTCACAGCAATAAAAATCAAATTATGTAATCTATTACAAAGTTTATTTGTTAATACAGCCTCTCCTCACTTAATGATGGAGTTACACTCCTAAGACCACGTTGTAAAACAAATTCATCGCTAAGTGAGAAGCATACTATAATGGTAGTAGGTTTGTGTCAACCATCTCTGATATTGTTTTAATGCCACCTTTGCACAATTTATAACAATTCTGGTATATTTTTAAATGTTTATACAGTAGTGCACTGTATATTGAAATATTGGAAATCAGCTCTAATATACATTATTTAGGTATAAATACTGGTCAGAGAGCCCATCGTAAGTTTGAGGCGTCGGTAAATGAGTACGTCGCTAAGTGAGGAGAGGCTGTACATGAGTAATATAATTCATTTAGCTACATTTAACTACGTATATAAGAGAAAATAAAATTTATATAAAGCAAATTTAGCTAAATAAGTGATGATTAAAAAAAACTTGCCTTTGTTTGTCCTCCAAGGTAAGCACATCAGGATTAGGATAAGTATTCTGCACCGAATTCTGTGATTTTGGGCTGCTCATTGACTCTTTTTTCATGTACTGGTTCAGTCCCAGTCCAGAAAACATTCCTGTGTTCACATCAGCTGCTGAGACCACTGATCCACTGCTAGTACTACTGTTTACTGATATACTTGTTGGCATTGCCATCTGAAGTGTGCTGTATAGGAATTCAGATAAATTTAAAAACAGTTTCGATGAAATCCAAATTAAAGATACATGTACATTTTGTGCATTCTTCTCAAAATGAATACAATAACTTATAATGTTAAGAGTTTCGTGAACTATGTATAGAAAAACATAGTAATAATATAACACTGTGTGATATTATTTGAAGAGACAGTGCTCCCTCTTTTTACAACAAAAAATTTGGAGAATTTTCTTTTAAACTCAGAAGCCATTTTTTGCCAAGGCAGGATGACCTGAAGAAGAAAACACATTCATTATTATTCATTCAATCACCATCTTTTTAAAAGTGTACTGACATCACAATCATATTACCATTCAACTGCAACTTCCCCACCACTCCTTCAGACTGAATTACAAACACTGCCCTCCCCATCTCTAGGACTTAAGTCAAGCTAACCAGCTTCTCTGAATACCTTCATAAAAGTTGCCTTATTCATACTCCAACAGCACACCCAATAAACTCTATTTATCTCCATTCACTCCTATCTAACACACTCACAGAAACATGCTGGATGCTCAAGCCCGTAACACTCAAATCCTCTTTTACCCCCAGGACTTCAACCAATTCTTGGGACCACCCCTATTCCCTCCAACCTTCTACCCTCCAACTCTTCATCAACCTATTGTTTCAGTCTTCTGATGCCAAATTGCCTTTTAACCCTCTCACTACTGTCACATAAATTTATATGACTGGCGGCAGTGTTGCTTACATACATATATGAGTACATAAAAGTACCCTTAAATTTATGTGAGTGGCAAATTTTGATCTAGACATGAGACAATGGGTCTGTGAAGTGTGTGTGCACAGTGTAACAAAAATTCCTGCCCCATGCAGTGCATAATGGGAGCAGCTTACTTCTGACCAGAGTCTGGATTAAAATAGTGATTCTGGTATGCTTTCCCAGGTGTTTTTTATGATTTTACTCTCTGTTTCTTGGTGTAAATAAACAGACCAAAAGATATATTACTGAAATGGAGAAGATTTTGGCCAATTCCCGAATGGAAGTAGCCTGAAGTAGATCACAATACGGGTGGGGTTAGGTCCCATAGCAAGTGAGTCGTAAAACTCCAGGCCAGTGCGTAAGCCACTGGGCTAGCTGGCTATAATAAGATTCATCCAGTTAGGTATATTTATACACTACAGAGAGGTCAGCATGAGTGATGAACTCTAGCAAGAGTTCATCATGGCCACACTGGCGGGAGATTTATCTGTAAAAATTAGCATTTGTGGTCACTGTGGGGCCCATGTTAACTTCCCTATGGTGCATAAATATACCTAGCTGGATGAATCTTATTATAGCCAGCTGACCCAGTGGCTTATGCATTGGCTTTGAGCTTTACAACTCACTTGACATGAGTTCTAACCCCACCCATACCATGGTTTGTTTGCAATCACATTATTATGATTCTGTGAGTAATGATAGCCTTAAATAGGCCTCAAAGTGGCAGAAATTGTCTATTTTGGAAAATTTCCTGAGGAAGGGCAGGGCCCCTCCACTCAGGTTTGTTTTGTGAGGTTTTACTAAGTCTGTGTGTGATGATGGATTCAATATAGAGGGCAGATGTTATATAGAAGAAGCTGAGGGATATGACTGAAAAACAGAAAGATGATATCTGTAATCTAACATGAACTGTTCTGGGTCAGCCTCAAACCCTTCAAAATCTTTGTTGAGGACACATTCTGGCCACAATTTACTTAATGCAGAGTTCAAAGTCCTCGAAGTCAGTTCCTGCCAAGCCTTGCCTATATGGCTTATGCAATTGCTAATTGTTTTTGGTTGATCCATGCTAACAACCAATTCTCAAAACCTTGAGTATTTGCGATCTCTTTTTGGTGAGCAGATCTACCCCTTTTGCAACAACAGCTTCCTTGATTTCCTTTTTCTTCGACACGATTGAGGGGGTCATTAATGACTTGTCTAGGACTTTAAACTGATAGATTATAGAGGTATGGGTGTTTGTGGGAAACAATCAGGCTGCAATATTGTTGGAAACAGCAGATATTGCCAGCACACTTCAGGAATATGTTTAAAAGACAGTATTCAAAATAAAGTTCCTAATAAAGACAAAGCAACTGATCAACAAACAGAGAGAGAGTAGAGGGTGACGAGTGACTAGCTCCCTTAAGGTTTACTATACAAATAGTAGGAGTCTAAGAAATAAGATAGATGAGCTAAGATTACTTGCAAGTGCAGGTAATATAGATCTTATTGCTATAACAGAGACCTGGCTCAACTTGAAGGATAGAGAAATACCTTCTGAATGCAGCATAAAGGGTTATAAACTATTCCACACTGATAGGGTCAACAGGAAGGGTGGTGGAGTGGCGATGTATGTCAGAGATAATTTAACTTGTTGTGTTAGACATGATATAAGAATAGAAACATCGGACACAGAATCTGTTTGGCTACAGTTTCTCGAGGGGTATGATATATAGGCCCCGGGACTGCAGTAAGCTGCTTTGGGACGAAATTCATAAGGCATCTAGATATGAAAATGTTGTGTTAATGGGAGATTTTAACTTTAGACAAATTGATTGGAACAATTTGTCAGAAAATCTTGAGTCTAGTGGCTTTCTTGATACAGTTCAGGATTGTTTTTAAAACAGTTTGTGACAGAACCAACTAGAGGAAACAGTCTGCTTGACTTGGTTCTTGCCAACAAAGATTCACTAATTAATAATCTTGAGGTTAATGATGAGCTTGGGGAAAGTGATCACAAATCACTTAGTTTCAATATATTATGGAATTACCCAGTAAACTGCAATCAAGTCTCTGTCCCAGACTTTCGATTGGCTGATTTCCTGGGACTGAAAAATTACCTGGGTGGGCTAAATTGGGATGATCTGACTATGGATCAGGTAGCTGGTGTTGGTTGCCAATATGACATTTTTCAGAGCATAGTTCTAGCTGCTCAGTTAACTTTTGTTGCGAGTAGGGAGATTAGATCTAACAAAAATGATCCCAAATGGATGAACAATAGATTAAAACATCTCATAGGTCAAAAGAGAGGCATATATAGGCATATCAAAAGAGGGGATGGGCAGTTAAGAAATCAATATATTCAATTAAAGAGAGAAATAAAGAAAGGAATAAGAAAAGCAAAAAGGGATTATGAGGCTAAGGTCACAAAGGATTCAAAGACTAATCCAAAAGGGTTCTTTCAGGAATACAGAAGTAAGATTAGAGACAAGATAGGCCCACTTAAGACTAGTTCAGGCCCGATCACTGACAATGATAGGGATATGTGTGAAATTTTCAATTCTTACTTCCTCTCAGTCTTTACTCAAGAAGATACTAGCGAAATTCCAGAAATAATAAATTATGTAGAACAGGACGATAATAAACTATGCACGATTGCTGTAACTAGTGACATGGTCCTCAGACAAATAGAGAAATTAAAACTTAAAAAATCTCCAGGCCCTGATGAATTGTTTGCAAGGGTTTTAAAGGGATGTAAAGAGGAACTTTGCAAACCTTTGGCTAATCTTTTCAACATATCACTACAAACTAGCATAGTACCTGTTAAGTGGAAAATGGCAAATGTAATACCTATTTACAAGGCAGGTGACAGGTCCTTAACTTCGAACTATAGAACAATAAGCCTTACCTCCATAGTGGGAAAATTTATGGAATCAATAATTGCCGAGGCAATTCGTAGCCATCTTGATAGGCATAAATTGATAAATGAATCTCAACATGGTTTTACTAAGGGGCGTTCCTGTCTTACGAATTTACTAACTTTTTTCGCTAAGGCGTTTGAGGAGGTAGATCATGGTAATGAATATGATATTGTGTATATGGACTTCAGTAAGGCATTCGATAGAGTTCCACATCAGAGAATTTTGAAGAAACTTAAGGCACACGGAATAGGAGAAGAAATTTTTTCTGGGTAGAGGCATGGTTGACAAATAGGCAGCAAAGAGTTTGCTTAAATGTGGAGAAATCAGAATTGGGGCACGTAACAAGCGGTGTTCCACAGGGGTCAGTGTTGGGCCCCTTGTTGTTCACAATTTACATAAACGATATAGATGAGGGAATAAATAGCGACATAAGCATATTTGCTGATGACACCAAAATAGGCCGTCCAATTCATTCTATTGAGGACATTAGTGCACTCCAGGATGATTTGAATAGACTGATGCAGTGGTCGGAGAAGTGGCAGATGCAGTTTAATATAGACAAATGAAAAGTTCTAAATGTTGGACAGGACAATAACCATGCCACTTATAAACTGAATAATGTAGTTCTTAATACTAATGATTGCAAAAAGGATTTAGGAGTTCTGGTTAGCAGTAATCTGAAACCAAGACAACAGTACATAAGTGTTCACAATAAAGCTGACAGAATCCTTGGCTTCATATCAAGAAGTATAAATAATAGAAGTCCTCAGGTTGTTCTTCAACTCTATATATCCTTGGTAAGGCCTCATTTAGATTATGCTGCACAGTTTTGATCACCATATTACAGAATGGATATAATTATTATTTTTTTTTTTTTTTTTATTATCACACTGGCCGATTCCCACCAAGGCAGGGTGGCCCGAAAAAGAAAAACTTTCACCATCATTCACTCCATCACTGTCTTGCCAGAAGGGTGCTTTACACTACAGTTTTTAAACTGCAATATTAACACCCCTCCTTCAGAGAGCAGGCACTGTACTTCCCATCTCCAGGACTCAAGTCCGGCCTGCCGGTTTCCCTGAACCCCTTCATAAATGTTACTTTGCTCACACTCCAACAGTACGTCAAGTATTAAAAACCATTTGTCTCCATTCACTCCTATCAAACATGCTCACGCATGCCTGCTGGAAGTCCAAGCCCCTCGCACACAAAACCTCCTTTACCCCCTCCCTCCAACCTTTCCTAGGCCGACCCCTACCCCGCCTTCCTTCCACTACAGACTGATACATTCCTGAAGTTATTCTGTTTCGCTCCATTCTCTCCACATGTCCGAACCACCTCAACAACCC